ACCTAGAAATCTATGAATCTATGAAATGTCTCTCTGGAGAGCTCCTGGACAACCCAGCCCCTGCTCATGGCCAATGGCTCTGTCTGGTGGTTCAAGAGGGTCACCCACGCACAGGGAACTGCTCTGCTCCTCCCTCAGTATGGCCCGTGAACTCTGAGCCATAGGTGGCTTTTCCCAGTGCCTTTTCTAACAGCATTGTTTGTATTTAAAAGAAAACAAGTCCAAGAACAAGTATTGAGGAAAAAAATACGTCTCAGAATCGGGCAAGAAGCTCAGTGCTGAGAAAACAGAAGCATCTTGTGCTGCAAAAACAGAAATATCTTGTGCTGCTTCTGCCTCTGTCCTCACTCAGAAGGCCAGAAGGGTGATCTGTGGAGGGTCTGTAATTGCTGACGGGACTTCCAAAGGTGCTGGCAGCAGAACAATTCAGAGCCTGCAGATGTTGGCAGTGGGAGCTAGGGAAGGTAGCTTGAGGTGGATTTCACAGCCTGGCTCTGAGAGTGCTCCTTGACCTTCCTTTTGGCTGCAGGCTCTTTTCTAACACTGTCAAGGTGGATCTCAATGCAATACCACTCAGCATCTTCGACTCCAGTCCAGACCTGGGGCCTTTACTTTTGTCCACCCGCAGCTACGGACAGTGCTAGTTCACCTCATGCCACAGACAACATGTGTTTCTACCAGAACTTGAACAAAATGGGTTTTGTGCAAGGAATCGCCTGATCACTTGGTCCATCCAATCTTTGGCCTCCAAGCCTGTCTAGTAGGGTGACTGGATTGCTAGAGAGTTGGTTTACTGTCCCTGAAGATGAGGAATCCATACCGCTGGGGCATGACCTATCTAGAGGGGAAATCAAGTCTCATCCCTAGCAGGAGTCTCATCTCACCTCAAACTCTTGGAAAAAAGCGTGATTAGCACTTGCTGTCTTCATCTCATAGTACTGCTTGAAGTTCTGTATGGGAATTGGCCGATGGACATTTCTGTGTGAAATGAAGTCCAGAGGAAAACTTGCCTTAGCTTTTGGGAGGTCTGGCAGGCCAGTCAGGTGGCCAACAAGACAGCCCAGCCTTGAGACCTGCAGTACCTGGATGCACACACAGAGGGATGGTTTATAGCCCACATCATTGCCCAGGGAAGCAGGTCCAACAGAGCATTGTTTAAATATTGGGAGGGATTTCAGGATGATAAGGATATTCTCCTACTGCAGAAGCCTTGCAGAGGAGGTGTGGACAACTCATGGAATTAGAATGGAGCTGGGCAATAAATATTGAACATGAGAAAGCCTAAGATTTAAAAAATAACTGAAGGAGAGGAAATAGAGTTGGATTTCTCCTCAGTCAAAGCATGAGAAAGGAAATAGGTGAAGTACTCTGGGACCTGCAGTGGGGACACGCAGAGAAAGAAGACTCCAGCACTCACCTGAAGCTGTAGGTCACCATTTCCTGGGGCAGGCTGCTCTTCTTGGTTCTAGAATCAAAGCATGGGAGATGGTACTCTTCCCTGCAGTACAGGGACAGATGCTGTGAGCGTATTGTGTACTGCTGGCTCATGGAATGCTTGTGAGCAGACAGCTCACATCAGGCACACTGCCTCGCACACGTGTAGCGTTCTGTGCATTAATTGCACACAGGCAGCTCCCCTCTTGATTCTGTGCTTGCCAGGCACAATTCCACTAGCAAGTGTTGTAGCTTGCCTAAATCTCTTTTTATACCCTCTCACTGCTCTTCCTCCTGGCCTGGTACTGAAGGTTGGGTTTCTCAGCCTGCACCCACTGGGCAGGGGATGGCTCATCCTCACCTCTTTGCTCTGAGCTGTTTCCAGTAGATCAAAGCAAAAATAGCTGCAAGTGTCAAGAGAAATCCCACAAGGATTCCAGCAATTACTGGCATCGAGAGTGGAGTTGCGTCTCTACCAGATCCAGCAGCTGCACAGAATGAACAGAAGAGACAGAATGGACAGAAGTAAGAATAAATGTCTACATTTACTCAATTTATTGTATTTGCTACAGCCTATGATCTCCCTCTGGCTTGCCATTGTCAGGTTGTTAATTATCTCTAACCTACATAGCCAGGTAGGGAAGATGGCATTCTCCATCTTACCTGAGAACATGGTGAACGTCACTGCAGGGGCTACGGGGTCGTATTTGGTGAAGGCAGCGATGCTGAACCTAGGGCAAAGCAGAGTCCCGCCATCAGGGGCAGTCTGAACTGAGCACAGCACCCATGCAGCCAGCAGCAGGGAGACCCAAGGGAACACAATAGCTGCCTCTGTTTTGAACGCTGTATTGGAAGAAGCTGGTTTTCTGGTAGGGATTTAGGGCATGTGTGAAAATGGTCATTTCCTCCCTCTTCTGCCTCTTGGACAAGTTTGTTGTACTTGGGAGAACATGAGAAAATGTTCAGAAAGCACGAATGGGAAACAGCTCTCCTCCGAAGGGTTATTTGCAGAGACAAGTAGTAAATTTCTGTTCTCTTCTAGGACACAAATTGGGAAAGGCAACACTAAGCAGAGAAAACCAAGCTGGGTTGAGTCACTGTCTTAGTTCATGTCAACCCATTAACTGGAACTTCTTGAAAGCGTTGAGCCAAGGTAGCTGTTTGAAACGGGGGCACCTCAGCTGAGAGGGCTGAGCCTCAACCCAGACCCTTCCTTATGCACACAGAAGTGGCTGGTGCGTCCTCTTCCCTGTGGAGATCTGCCCTATGTCCTCCTCCCGGCAGTGTACACACCAAGCCTCGCAGCTCCCTACAGAGATGACTTCTTTCTGAGCAGGTAACTTGGAAGGGCAGGTTGTCTTGTGCCCTGAATGCTAGCTAAGGCTTTCAAACATAGCTTTGGACTTTAGCAGCCAAGAGTTTATGGAGCCTAGTGTGAGACCCCTCTGGCAGCACCCCAGACCCAGCTGCCAGAGCAAAGACCTCTTTGGAAACGGCGTGCCGATGCCGTGGCATGAGAGATAAGGGCTTGTAGGTAAGTAACTCACTGAAAGATAGAAAACAAGAGCTGGCTTTCGGAGTGGAGATGAGCTGCCAGAGGTGTCTGCTTTTCATCACTACTAACAATTAACTAGGAAGCCCTCACAGTGTACTGAGGATACATGTCCTTCAGGGCAGCTGAAAGGAAAGCGAGCTGTGAAGAGGTGCAAAGGGATCTTCTAGTCTTGAGTAACTGGACAGTTAAGTACATGCAATTGATTCATGGTAGGTGGTCTAATGACAGCCTGATGGCTCTGAATTAGCTGCTATCACTAGTCAGCCACCCCTTCTGTAAGTTTCTTCAAATTGAAATGGGATGACATTCCGGATTCTGGGGGAATCCTTTGTCAAAGGACGCCTGGGAAGAGGGTCCCTGTTTGATGAAATTGTGAGCTGCTAAATTAGCAGAGGACTGACTAAAGATATGGTTCTTTGTTTGTAGTAGAAAACCTGGTTTACCACCAACTACTTTAAAGGTACCCGATAACAAAATATGTGTGCTTGTACCTTCATGTTCCTAGATTCTATTTACTGCCAAATAAGACTCTGAATTTATGAATATTGTGACCTGTGTGTGTGTCTCATGGGGAACCTGAACCTTAGCCTGTGCATTTGCTACCCTTGACCTTTGAGACCCCAATTGTGTAGGCACCACTTGAAATAATGTTTCCAAATCAGTTTCATTTTTGTATTCTCTGAGTCTGAGTTACAAGCAAAATCCCTACAAATAACAGCATCCATTTTAGTTCTTAACCCGGAGGTGGACAACTGCCCAGCTCCCAAGGCAACACTTGCAGCCCTTGTCGGCCTCAGCTCTCATTTCTGCTCTCGCTCTCCCTGCCCACTGACACTCTCTAATATTCTCCTCCAACTCTGCTTTGTGGAGCAGACCCTGGGGTCCACTGCCGGGGGCCTGAGGAGTACAAGGGTGAGGTGACATCCTGGGAGCTGTGACACCTTGCAGGGACACATGCAGTCTCTTTTCTCCTCCAGCCTCTTCCCCTCAGGAGGGATATTGACATCTCTCACCTGTACTGTTCGTTGGCTTTCAGCTTCCCGTTGCACATTGCCCTGGAATGGCCACACTCCTCTGTTCCCACTGGCACTCGCCAGGTTTCGGGGGAGCTCCTGGGGCTCGAATGGAAGGGATTGGGGATTAGCACCGCCAGGTAGGAGTCCTCTGTTCCATAGTAGTGGTCATACCATGTGCTGGACATGATTTCCTGGGTGGGCCTCAGCACTGAAGGGGAATGTACAAGGTGACAGTGGTAGTCCCAAAGTGACATCCGGGGGACCTGCTGCCCTCCAGGAAGCCGGTGCAGATCAGGATGTGCAGGGGCACTTACATGAATCATTAGTGGTAGCAATGACACCGTAATACTCAATCTGACCATTCTCCTCGCTGAACAGGTCGGATGAAATGATAACCGTGGAGCTGGCCTCCACCTGGAAGACGTCTGCTCGCAGGGGGGGAGGCAAGGCTGGAGAAGGAACCAGCAAGCATAGCTTGTTAGTGTGTTCCTGCTCCCACAGACCCACCACACGTTGCTCAGCCTGACTGGTCCCAGCATCACTGCCCAGAGCGCTGACTCATTGCAGTTCAGTGCAGGACCACAGGCATCTGACAGTCCCCAGGTTTAATTAGCAACACTGGACGTCTTCTCCTGGGGTCTGTGGCAAGGCTGTGGGAAAGAAGGGGACTCACCCTCCACTGTTGTGTTGCAAAGCAGAGTCACAGCCTGGCTCCTCATTGTGTTCATGCCTACTGCGCTCACAATGATTCGGTACGACGAGTTTGGCCTCAGCCCCTCCAGACTGACCTCGCTCATAGGGATGCTCGTGACAATCTTGGAGGTGGGGGGTCCATCAGAGAATCTCTCTATCACCACCTCATAAGCCTCCACATCTCCAGGAGAGCTGGTCCAGTTCAAGTAAAGGCTCCTTGGCTTTGGTAGGCATTGCACATCCTTCACCGGGTTCGGCTCTGCAAAGGAGATACAGCAGGCTCCAAACTTACTGGATCAGAGAAATCCCAACCTCAGGCCACACGTCAGCCTGGAGCCACTATGATCCTCTGCTGCCTGTCCCTAGGTCAATGGGAGAGGAGCAGAGCTGGACATCTGCAACTGGGGAGCCTTCAGTGCCAAGGGCCACAGGACAAGGCGAACAGGTCAGGGCCTGAGCAGATGTCTTATAGGAGAAGCAGACCAATGCAGAGTCCGCTTTGCTTCATGGGATGGTGGGAAACCTCTGTGAAGGGGCTAGCTTAGAGATCTGATGGCTACCATAGAGTCATCTTGCTGGTTTTCCTTATCTCCCACCATGAAGACTTCCCACACTTTTGTTGACCCCCAAGGCCTGATCCAGTCTTGAGGCCAGCCATGTGTTTCTCCCCCTTCCAGCCTGCGCTCCCCCCATTCCCACGGCAGCGCATACCCACCCATGGGCACTGCCAAGGGTTTGGTGCTGCTCCAGTAGGGCCCAGCCACGCAGCTCAAGGAGACAGAGTAGTTCCTCCCTGGTATCAGCCCCTGAAGAAGGTGCTGGACTTGCCCTCTGTTGAGAGAGTGCTGCCAGGGTAGTGTGCTATTCCTGGGATCCCGCAGCCACAGTTGGCAGTTGTCCTGCTGTCCAGAGTCACTGTCCCAGGAGATGAGCATCGTGTTGTTCCCTTCAGTCACCGCAGAGAGATTTTTGGGAACTGAAGGGGCTACAATGAAAACCACATCAGGGAAGGGTTACTGGCATGTCAGACCCTCTCTTCCATCCTGTAGAGATACAAGCAGAAGATGAGTAATATGCAAGGAAACTTTATGTGTTCAGTGATTTCTGCCGCTGCTGGCTGCCACTACCAGAAATTACTTTCAAATGGCAACTGGAGGACATGCAGAGTGAGGAGCATGAGGAGATGGGTTCTTCCTCCTGCTAATTAGCACGTTTCATTAGAGACCTGCCTGAAGGGCCCTGCACATGACTCCCAGCACGCTGCCAGGGCTGGCTGAGTGTGGGAGCAGAGACCTCTGGATTCCCCAAGCAAAGTGCAGGGACTGTGGGGACAAGCACATGAAAAGGCTTATTGTGCTTATCTGCAATTTTCACATTCCTTAAAAAAAAGAAAAAAAAACCCCAGCCTCCCTTTATTCCTCATGCCAGGAATTTTCTGAGTGCCTAGGAGAAAGGCAGCAGGGATGGTAGAGTGTCCCCCCTTGGCTAAAAGGCCTCGTGATCTCCCAAGCTGTGGGTGTCCTCTACCAGAGAAGCACTGTTGCCACAGGATCCCTTGCTCTTTGTTCAGTCACCCATGGCTGGAGGAGCCAGCTTGTGTGAGCATCAGGGTTGTCAGCTGGAGGTCTGCCCTGAGACAGCAACTACAGCTACAAGACTGTCCTGTGGGCAGCAGTATTGCCCTGCTAACCCCTCCACCAGAGGCTTGCACAGCCCATGATCCCATTGCTCCAGTGATACCTACAGCCTCCAGGCAACAGCCCCAGCCCTGTCCCTGCCCCTTCCCACTGGAGGTACTGAGCCTACCCGGCTGGGGAAGGCTGACCGTCGTGTATGATGCAAGGACCTCCAGCTCTTGCCACTTACTTGTCCAATCGCTGATGTTCCTCGCAGAGGCTGCATAGGGCCCTGCCACAGACACCACTTCCAGCAGGTATTTGTGTCCCGGAGCCAGATCAGAAAAGATGAATTTGCTGGTGCCTTTCCCAACAGATACGTTGGCTGCCACAATACCTGATCCTGAGTGATACAGGAGGAGCCTGTAACTGTCTTGTCCTTGGGGTTCGGCTTGCCAGGATGCGCTCAGCCTGTTGGGATACCCCTGGTTCGTCATGTACACATTGCGGGGTGCCAGGGGGTCTGAAGAGACAGGATGGGAGATGTTGTCAGCGAAGGGTCTGAGGACATTGCCTGGGTATCTTGGCAGTGTCATCAGAAAGGTTGCACCATACAAGACAGGACACTTTGCCTCGACTGGATGGTTGCATCCATGAGCCTGGAGGAAGCTTCTGCAAACTTCAAGTGGTGCATGCTCGCGTAGAGAAAGCCCTGTCTCAGCTGGAACTAGACACCCAGGGATGGGAGAGCAGGAAGCAACCAGCTAGCTGGAGGGGAGGGGAAGGTGAATGCCCCTGTCTGCTGCTCCATCCTCCGTGCCTCTCCTCTGAAGCACAGCCTCTGGAGCTGCAGCTGGTCTAACCCAGGCTGGTAGAGCCAATGGGGAAGGTGGGCAGAGCCCTTCTTAGTGCCACAGCACTGACATGCCCTTGGGTTCAGGCAGGGCTTGGGGTCTGCCACAAAGGTCAGCAGGGCTATGTCCTCTGCCATGAGCCTTCATGACTGCCCAGCAAGGCATGCATCACGCTCAAAACAGGGTACTCACATGTCCAGTTGCTGACGTTCCCTGCAGGTGTCTGGTAAGGCCCTGCCAAGGACACCACCTCCAGCACATACTTGCTTCCTGGGGCCAGTCCCATGAAGGTGAAGTTGTGGGTGTCTCTCCCAAGCAAGGTCGTAGCCGCCACGGTGCCCAGTCGCACATGGTACAGGGTCAGTGCGTAGCCATCTCGCCCCCCAGCTGCAGCTCCCCAGGATGCACTCAGCCTGTCAGGGTGCCCCGTGCTCAGCAAGCGCACGATGGCTGGGGCCAGCGGGCCTGGGGAGTCACCAGACCTCATGTTAGGGACCAGAGATTGTGCAGAAGGAAACACACTTGACACGACATTGTGCAGCAGAACAGATGCTCCCTGAAGGCTGGGACATGAAGGCCCTCTCTGGCTCACTCTTCCTCCTCACTCTTCTCTTTTCTGTCCCCATTCCACTTCACCTTTAATGTTGCTCATCCTTTGTGGTTCCTCACATGCCAATCCTTCTTCATCCAGGTCATCCTCATTCTCATAGCCCAGCTGGAGTGCCTCTGCCAGTACTGCAGGCACACACATACTCCAGCACCCAGCTGTTTTACACCTGCCTGGGCACAGCTGGCACAGTACCCATACTCTGCCCAGCCCTAAAATCTTTCTAGGTGGGGAGAGGTGCTGAACTAGTCCACCTCCAGAGCAAAGACCTGTTCTCCTGGAAGGACTGTGAGTTAGCCTTTTCCTGTACTACACTGATTCATTTCATGAACCTTTATGGTAATGCGGTTCCTACCTGCTGGAGCAGACTCAGTGAGGGTGCAAGCGCTCCCGCATACAAGCAGATGGGGCAGCTTGGGCAGGGGGATGTCAGTTGAACATCCATGTGCCCATGAGGGTAAACAGGGTGCCCATGGCACTAACTGCTGCGTGTTGCAACCATGCGCATGTATATGCACATCTCCAAAGGCACCAGGACCCATGTAAACCTCCCAGCCCTCCTCAGGGCTGCCCAGTGGTGCAACATCTCCCACCCCTCTGCAGAGGACACTCCTCCAGGCACTCACGTGTCCAGCCACTGATGTTGGGTGCTGCTGCCTGGTATGGTCCAGCCACGGCACTGGCCTCTAGGGAGTACTTGTATCCTGGGGTCAGGTCCATGAAGGTGAAGTTGTGGGTATCTCTCCCCAGTGAGGCTGTAGCCACCACGGTGCCCAGCCACGCGTAGTACAGGGTCAGTGCGTAGCCATCTCGCCCCCCAGCTGCGGCTCCCCAAGACGCACTCAGCCTGTCAGGGTGCCCCGTGATCAGCCAGTGCACGGTGGCCGGGGGCAGTGGGCCTGGGGACAAAACACGAGTCACTGCCAGGAGCCATATTCAGGCTGAGAGAATGAAGATGCTCCATGTCTGTGCCAAGCCTACGCTGTGGGAGGTGGGTCAGCCCTGCAAGGTCCTGAGGGCTGGCTTTGCCTTTGACTGCAGCATCTGCCTCCAGGGATTACCCCCTCCCTCGTGCTGCCTGAGCCTGTGGATGGCTACCTGGGCCAGGCCACGGGGGTCATGCACAGACTCCTCATGCTGTATCCAGCAGGGCATGAGCACTGGGCACTTGCATGGGTGGGAGAAGAAGGCAGGATCTGGCTACGCCAGTATAGCCTCTGATAGAAACCGGGAAGGGGGAGATCTGGCAAAAGACATCTGGCTGCAAGGAAAGCATCATACTCACGTGTGCAGTGGGTGAAGTTGGGGGTGCTGGTGTGGAAGGGCCCAGCTGTGGCCCTCACTGCCACGCTGTAGCGGGTGCCAGGGCTCAGGTTTCTGAAGGTATGACTCTCGGCATCCCTGCCCAGCACCACGCGCCTGACATGACTGCTGGAGGTTGTGTCATAGACATCCACCATGTAGCCTTCTGCTCCTCGCCTCACTGCTGCCCAGGAGGCCAGCAGCGTGGAGGCAGAGGGGCTGCCCAGGGCAAGGCTGGCAGGGGCCAAGGGGTCTGGAAAGCAACAGGGAGACAGTGAGCCCCTGCCTGCCACCGCTGCTCGGTGCTATGAGCCGGCTGCTTTGCCCGGTGGCTCCTCTTGCTCTGGCAGTGCCATGGGCTGGACTTCAGCCCCCAGCTCCCACTGGGCGCTGAGCAGGGTGGCCACCAGAGACTATCCCAGAGAGAAGCATGGGGACAAATGGGCAGACAGTGCATGTGGGTCTAAGCATAATAACCCCAGGGCTTACGGCTGGACATGGCGGAAGAGGTACCCAGAGCCTTTGAGGTGCGTAGGGGGAATTGGCTCTGTGTCAGGGGAGGAGTGAGGACAATGAGCAGAAAGGTGGGACAACTATGTGGAAGCTAGGGGCACAGCGAGGATGGTTTGGGATGGGGAAGGTGGTGGCGGGTGCTCTGCAATGCTCAGATGGAGGCTCTGGGGCACAGTGGAGTGCTGTGTCCAACCCAACCCATCAGACTCACGTGTCCATTGAGTGACATTCTTGGAGGAGGCTTCAAACGAGCCTTTCACAGCAGTGACCTGCACAGCAAACCTGCTGCCTTCCTCCAAGTGAGTCCAGGTGATGTTCTGCGCATCTGGACTCAAGGTCTGGACCCGCTTCCTGCTCTGGGCGCTGAGACTATACAGAATGACGCGGTAGTGGTCTCTCCTGCCAGGGGGCTTATTCCAGCACGTGTAAAGTTCTGAGGAGCTGCCTAGGTTGGTAAGGCTCAGGTTTGTTGGTGCAGCAGGAACTGTGAGGAAAGACAGACACATGAGTCAGAGAGAAAAAGATCTGGTTCTGAAAATGCAGCCATCTCCAGGGAGCAGTCTTGCTTTCCCCAGGCAGCCAGCAGCAAACAGCCAACAAGCTCTCTGTGCCCAGGCGGTACAAGGCTGCATGAGGCAGGAGATGACTGCAGGCCAGCATCATTGGGAACCAGGCCAGGGTGCCCTCCTCTCCTCTTCCTGGGTGACAACATTGATCCCTCTCCCATTCTGGAGCTCCTTGCAGTGCTCCCACCCAGGTCATCTGTGGCTGGTACAGATCTCACCTGTGCAAATGCGGAGGGAGCGGTAGGGACCAGCTACTGCCCACATCCCAACAACATAGCAAGTTCCTGGTGCCAGTTGTGTCAGAGTGACATTGGTGCTGTCTTTCCCTGCTTCCAGGTTCCTCACTGGTGAAGAAAAGCCCTCCTCGTTCATGCTGAGCAGGTATCCATCCCTCTGCCCCGGAGGGGTGTCCCACTGCACAGTCAGAGCCCAGGCAGTGCTGACAGGACTTGCCAACAGGGAACGAGGTGGTAGTGGGACTATGGGAGAGAAACAGTGTTACAAGGGATAAACCTGGGATGCTCAGGACTGACTCTGGTTTGGGAATGAAGCTGGGAGCTGCAGGAGGATCTAACATGCTGTCTAAAGACTGCTGGGAGCAGCGGGTTGTTCCCAGATCAAAGCTGCTCCCTACGTCCCAAGTGGTAACGGCGTATCACCATCATGGCCCAAGACCCTCTTGTCCCAAAGTACTGGGGCAGGCTCACAGCATGCCCCATTGAGCTACTGGGCTCAGGATGAGTGAAGGTCCCAACAAGAGAGCCAGCACTCTGAGTAGGAGACAGGCACCAGTAGGGTTGCAGGGACATGGTCTCTGAGTTCTCCTGCAGGACAACCCTGGAATCCCCCTCTTGGTCCCCAGACCCTCAGCAGGCCAGAGCCAGGCTGGTTACCAGGGACGGGGACAGACACAGAGGAGCTACATTCCTACCAGTGTAGCCAATGGCAGTCTGAGAGGTGGCACGATGAGGCCCAGCATGAGAAATGATCTCCACACGGTACCGGGACCCTGGCACCAGCCCCTCCAGGTCAAGCTGGGTGACTCCACGGGGGACGGACACATTCCTGATAATGGACAGGGACTCTGCCACTGAGAGCTGTAGCAAGTGGTCTCTGCCACCGCCTGACTCCACCCAGCTCACATGTAGCTCCTGGGGAATCTGGCCAGGCTGTACACTCACGTTGGCCAGAGACAGTGGATCTAGGGGGAAACACAGCATGGAGATCCATGAGATGGTGGAGGAAAGCAACTGGAGAAACCAGAACACAGCCTGCACCTCTGCACAGGGCTAAAGGAGAAGTGGTGGCAGCTGACTGACAACAATCCTGTTGTCCTGGGGAACATGCAAGTTGCCCATCCCAGACACCAAGGCGCTGCTAGCAGGCAGGTGCTGTACTGAGAAGAGAGCACTCAGCTCTCCAGTGGGCTGCTCTGCTCCATGGACAGGGAGCAGCAAGTCCAGACGGGTCTCTGTGCTTCCCTTTTTACATCCCTGTCCCACCAGTCCCAGGCTAGCCTTATGATCACAAGTGGTCTAGGCAGAAGGCTTAGCTTGACTGGGGAAAACCTGAACTGGGGAAAAGGGTCTTTTGGGCCCCAGAAGCAAGCACACAGCACCTAACTCACAACACATGCTCTGATACCCAGGGGCAGGGAGCATACAGGTCTCATCAGAGCCCTCCCTCTGCCCAGACACATCCATGTCACTGCCAGTCTTGCAGGCAGTGCCAGGATGCCCCATCCCTGCAGGAGGCTGGGGACACTTCTCACTCACATGTCCACTCGGTGGCAAAGTGTGATGAAGATCTGTATGGGCCAGCAAGGACAGTCACCTTCAGGAAGTACTGAATGCCAGGGGACAGCCCCAGGAATGTGAAGTTGTGGGTGTTTGGTCCCACCGAGATGTTCCTCTGCACTGGATGGCTCTTGCTGTAGAGCTGGAGGTGGAACTGGTCCACATCGCCAGCAGCCTTATCCCAGAAGGCAGAGAGTCCCTGTGGGCATCGAGTGTTGGTCAGGGTCACGCCAGCCGGAGCCAGGGGGTCTGAGAGAGGAGAGACATCCAGATGGTGAGAGGCAGTTCTGGTGGAGTGGCCATGGTGTGGAGTGAGGGCCTGCACTCACTTGTCCTGGGCACTCTCCACCGCCTGCGCCTGGTGGGCTCAGGTCAGAAATCAGCCCTGGCATATCAAACCCCAGAACAGCCTGAGCTTCTGCTCCACAACAAACACGGGAGCAGGTCCCCACCTGTCCTGCTGGGTGACATTTGGAAATGTTTTTCACTCAGTGATTGGTTTCTCCTGCACTGAAGACCCTTTTACTTCCAACCTGGCTGAATGTGGCTCTGGTTGTCCTTCCACACTTTGTTCGTCTATGCATCCCTGTCCCTGGTTTCCCCCACTCCCCATACATGGTCCACACTCTGCCTTGCCTTCATGCCATGAGCTTTCCAATCTCATTGGCCAGGTCATGGTTGCAGTAGGGTTGAGGTAGAGGTAACACACTCACATGTCCAGTCTGTGGCTGACTGCACAGGGGATCTATAAGGTCCAGCCATAGAAGCCATGTCCAGTGTATACTGTCGCCCAGGGACCAGGTCCTCAAAGATGATGTTTGTCCAGTTGCTCCCCACAGTCACGTTCCTGACTTGTTCCTGGGACTTGGTTTCCCAGAGGGTGCCTGTGTAGCCAGTGCTGCCAGTTGGAGCTGCTCTCCAGAAGGCTTGCAGAGAGGTGCTGTGGCCCTGGTTGCTGAGGGTCAGCTGCTCTGGGGGCAAAGGATCTAGGAAAGGTAAGGTCTAGAGTCGCAGATGCACCTGGACTGGGATCACCTGGCAGAAGTGCAGTGCAACCCCAAATGTGCTGAGGCTGCAGCCCCTCCCCTGGGAAAACCCACATCTAGGTGCTCTGGCCACCTGTACAATCTGAGCAGGCCACCTTCCCCTCTGCTGACACCCACACACCAGTTTGGCAGGGACTGGGCCAGCATAAAGTTCAAACTGGCACGGTAAGAGATGACTGCTCTGGTGCTGGAGGAGGTGGTGGATGGGATGGTCTGGACCAGGGTGGTGGAGAGGTGGTTCAGATGCAGCCTGATCACTGATACACCCACCACAGGAGGGTGGCCCAGGGGAGGAGGAGGGCACTGGGCTACTGGGCTCTGCCAACCCTTGTGCTGGGCAGCTGGGATACAGATCAGGGTCAGGCACATATAGGAGCACCTCTGCCTTCCTCCTGAGCCTTTTGCCCTTTATTGCGTGAAGCTGCAGAAGACCCACGCGATCACATGCCCCAAGGCACGACATTGTGGGGAAGGGCAGGATCCAGTGGGAACCCTGGGCCTGGCTGCAGTGAGGGCTGTGGCACTCACATGTCCAGTTGGTGATGCGCCGGGTTGCAGATGTGTAGGGGCCAGCCACGGTGCTGACCTCAAAGATGTAGAGAGTCCCAGGGTGGAGGCCCGTGTAGGTGAAGTTGGTGACACCTCTGAGCAGCGAGCTGTTCTTCACAGGGTGGTCCACAGTGCTGAGGGCCAGCACGTAGCCCTCTCCTGTTGCCTTCTCCCAGCTCGCTACTAGGCTGTAGGGGCTCCCCTGGCTGGACAGACTCACTCCAGATGGTGCTAGCGGCTCTGCAAGGGATGAGGATGGGGATCATGCACATATGGACCAGCGCATCAGGCAGCCAGACCGCTCTCGCAACTCCCTGCAGCTTTCCCTCCACCAAACACGGGCAGCCAGGGTTGCAGGGAAAGCCTTCAACTGCTCTCAGTGCCAAAGGCTGGATGAGTGCTCCCCAAGACTGTTTAAGGCTCCAGTCCTTCCTTCCCAGGGTGGCAGCTATGGGGTGGCTGCCTGAGCATCAACTGTGGCTCCACGAGTTGCCTAGGAGGGACTGGGCACAGCAAGATGCTGCTCTGGGAGGACTGGTAGTCACTACCCACTGAACCAGCTGCTGTGAGCACAGGGAGGGGAAGATGTCTTGAAGCCTGCCAAACACTGAGTCCAAAGGTTACTGAGTAGTCTGGTCTTGATTTGTGCCTGACATTACCCGGCACAAGTCTGCCAAGGACCTCCGAGTCCACCCTCACAAGGAGCTGTGGGGCAGCAGATTTTGCCGCTCTGACCCCTAGTCTGCCCTTGAGATCAGGTGCCACTGCACTGCACAGCCCCATCTCTGCCTGTGCTGCAACCCCCCACCCCATCCCACCAGCCTCCCCCCAGGCACCAGCCCCTCCATCAGACGGCAGAAATGGCCGTGAACGGACACGCTTGGGCTTTCTGCTTACCTGTCCAGGCTGCTGTGCTGTGGGCTGATGCCCGATAAGGCCCAGCCACCGCTGTCACCTGGGCAGAGTATTGCGTCCCGGGGCTCAGCCCGTGGAAGGTGACATGACTGTTGTCTCCGTCAACAGAGATGTTCCTTGCTGGAGCACCGTCCTCTCCCTCCTGCAGTGTCACCAGGTAGAATTGTCTCTCTCCTGCCGGGGTGCTCCAGCAAGCCTGCAAGGAGCTCTGCTCCTCTGCGCTGCTCAGGGTCACATTGCCAGGGCTCAGGGGGTCTGTAAGGGAAGGGGACATCAGCATTACGGGGTGCTCTAGACCCCCACCCCAGGGCTCACTGTCTTTACTGTAATTCAGGACTGTCAGTACTAAGGTGCTGGGTACACCAGCAATCCTGTCCTGCCCTACTCAGTCAAAGGGGACAGGCTGCCATGGGAGCAGATGCCATGCGACACTGTAAGATCTCCCCATCCACCCCTAGAGCCTCATTCCCTGCTTCCTTATCTGCAAGGTTACATCCAGCCTTAGACATCCTTTTGGAGTCCATTCCCCAGCATAACCATTCTTGGTCTAGCAGAGCCCAGACAAATCTGGGAGCCCTGCTGGGAAGTTCCTAAAAGTCTCCTCCTCTCCATTCATGTCCCATTATGAGCTTGCTGATATTCCCAGGAACTGGCCTGGACCAAACTCCTGGCCAGATGCCCCTGGCTCATGCGTCTGGCACCAGGGACATTTGTTCAGTTAGGTCAGAGCCACAGACGTTTCTGTTTGGGATGGAGTCACACTCATTTCGTGGCAGAATCAAACCAGCTGGGGGTGTGGAGGTCTTCCAAAACCCCAGCTGCAGAGTCAGTAGTGAGCAGGGTCCAGCTTCCTGGACCGGCAGGTGGAGCAGGAAAGAGCTGGAGGCTTGTCACCCGGTGGCACCCAGGTCCTTCCAGCGTACACCTGACCGCTGTCTGCCCAGGGACAGGACGGGTCACTGGCCACAACAGCCCTGAGTCTGCAGCTTGGCACCTCCATAATTTGTTGCTCTTCACTAGAGAGGGCCAACGCTTTCTTGGTGTTCAGCACAAGTCACACTCTGTGCTGGAGGCTAGGTTTGCCTTCTCCATTTCCCCCCGGTTTTCCTGGGAACCTCTGGGAGAGCAAGTCCAGAGTCAGAACTGTTCGCACTGTTACAGAGATGGTGTTGGCAGAAAACCAGGACCGTGGTGGTGGCAGGCACCTGCTGTCAGGGTCCTTGCCAGCAGGAGGCCAGAAGGTGGAGGAAGGTGGGTTGAATGGTGCAACTAAGCTGGGGTCTGGGAGCGCTACCATCAACTTCTCGACCTGCCAGAGACTGGCTTCCTTGGCTATGGTCGCACAGCACCTGGCACATTAGAGACATCCACCAGAAAGCTACCAAAATTAGATGCTACCAAAATATACCCTTGACAGCAGTCAAAGGGGACCAAAGTTCCATTTCCTTCCAGGAACCTCCAGTTCAAACCAGCTAAACTGCTGTCCCCTTCCCTCTGTTTTCTCTGCTGCCCCTGGATAGCCCCGAGGCACGTGAGAGCTCAGCTGCAGCTGCACCAAACACCAGTGAGATCCGCTGCCCTTCCATCCTCCTCCTCAGGCAGAGGCCACTGGCTGAGCCCCCTGCCCCCCGAGTCGGTACTGGGAATTCACCTGCCCAGTGTACTCACTGGCTGCACTATCACAGTGCCCCAGAGCCAGGTCCTGGAGCGGCTTTCAGGCAGGTCCAAGCAGAAGAATTGTCCTCTGCACCCAAGGCTCTGGCAGAAGACCTTTACATTCAGAGACTGGATCATAGGCAGGGAGAAAGTCAGGGCCACCAAGGGGGCCCCGTCCCCGGACATTGTACTCACATGTCCAAGCAGTGGCATTGGGTCCCCCCACCGTGTAGGGCCCAGCCGTGGCGCTCAGCCCCAGCCAGTACTGGGTGCCAGGGTGGAGATGCTGGAAGGTGTAGCTGGTGAGGCCCCTCCTGGCTGACAGCGTTGTGGTCACCGTCTGGGTGAGGAGGTTGTGGAGCGTGAGGTGGAGCCACGTGGCTCCCCCAGCACCCGCCCAGGAGGCGACGAGGCTGGTGCTGGAGTTGGGGCTGAGCCTCAGCTGGGTGGGGATGGAGGGAGCTGAGGAGAAAAGCAGGAAGCAGTGAGGTTCACCACTGGGGCTGGGGATCCCTGGACCTTCCTCTCTCCCAGGATCTCCTACACCCACAGCTGCTCTCTATGCTGGCATAGGGGTTGAAGGCCTGGCAGGGGTCTGCTGAGGGATGTCTCTCACATGTCCCTTTTCAGGCAGGCTGAGGGGCTTGTGAGGTTCCTCCACACTGTCAGGCTCTTTCAGGCTGCAGGGCAGAGGGGGTGGCAGCCTGGGTAATGCAACATTTCTGCAGCTTCCACCAGCCAAAACCTTTTCCCAGCATCCACTGACTGCCCTTTTCCCATAGGGACATGGAGCACAAAAATCCAAGCTGCAGGTCCTGCAAGGCAGGACCAAGGGGCAAGGTTGTCACCTTGACCAAGCACAGTGGGCTCACAGCAGAGATGTGAAAAAATCCCAGCTGTTTTCCATCCTCCACAAACTCCCCATCCTGAGCCTGGAGACCTCCTCCACCTCTCCACCAGCCCAGCTGGCACCCCTCCTGCCAAACCCTTTCTCTCATCCCTTCCCTCTTGGGCAGGCACACCCATCACTCCCTACCTGTCCACTGGTGGGTACTGGTGCTCGCCTGGCTGGATCCAGCCAGTGTGGTGACCTTCAAGGCGTACCCACTGCCAGCCAGCAACCCGTCAAACAGGAATGTGGAGGTGTCTGGCAGGATGGACGCATTTCTCACAAGCTTCTGGGAGTCACTGTGGTAGAGGGCAAGACGGTAGCCGTCTCGCTGCCCGTGGGCATGCACCCAGGAGGCGTGAAGTACCGCAGAGCTCCCGTTGCTGCTCAGGCTCAGGTTGCGGACAGGTGAAGGACCTGCATCGGACATGGCACACACGGTGTTGGCTGGTTGCATTGCGATGCCTGACCTGCCAGGGTGCTCAAGGGCTGGTGAGACTGGTGAGGTCCTGCCAGCCAGCTCCATGGGACCCCGTGCCCCAAGCACAGCTCCATCAGCTCTCTGCCAGCCCCACAGTCTCCCACAGGTTGTGTGGGCGGCACCATCCCCTTTGGATCAGTCTTGCACAGTCACTCTGAACTGGGCAGGGAGACTCAGTCAGGGACCACACAATAGGTGTGCGCTGAACAAGGTGAAGCCATCAGCACTTACCTGTAAGCTCACCTGCTGCCAGGTTCTCTGTTCCGCTGGCCCTATGGGTCTTGTCACCTGCCATCCCGTGAGTACCAACCCTGCTCCCTGCATCCACCACTGCTGTCTGACACCATCCCTTCTGCTGGCCGGCCTCCCTCCAGTTCTACTCTCCTTTTCCAGGTTTTCCACCTTCACCTGCACTGATTTACCCAAGGATCTTCTGGAGAAATGCAAGCAAGGGCTGCCATCCTCACCTGAGCTGTGGGTTTACCAGGCCCGTCTGCTTCCCCCAGTCCCTGGCATCAGACAGGGAGGGCATAGAGCAAGACTCAGTGGGTGAGCCAGTGATTGACAGAGATGTGCTAAAATCGTGGAGCAGATGCTACTTTCTTGTAGCGCTTCCTGGAGCTCTAGGCATGACTTTTTCCAACCCTCAGCTCTTTGCATTCCATATCATAGTTTGGTCCATCATTACCCCAGCAGAAGATACAGCCTGAACCCCACCCATGCGAAATGCAGGAGACACCGACCCTCCTTCCACATGGATGAAGGAATGACCTCTGGGGCCCTGGGGACCAGGTAAGGACCCTAATCCTTCTGGAAGTGATAGAAGACCCGACCTCCCCATGGACTCAAAGACCTGTACTTCACACCCTCCAAAGCAGTGTGACGATCACTGGTAGGAGCACTGAGACCCTTTGACTCTGCAGTCCCCAAGGAAATCCTTACTTGTCTGTGCTGTGACCATCTGGCTGGTGGTCTCCATGCAGGCAAGCGTGGCTGTCACCTCAATCTTGTAGCGCATGCCAGGAGTCAGCCCGTGGAACCAGAAGCTGGTGATGTTGGTTCCAGCAGATCCATTCTGCAGCAGCGTGCCCGATCCCAGGGAGGAAAGGGTGAGCGAATATCTCTCGGCGCCCCGCTCCGGCTTATCCCAGGACAGAAAGAGAGAGTCTGACCGACCATGGTCACTCACTCTGAGGTTCAGGAGGGGCCCTGCAGAGGCAAAGCCAAAACCCTCAACAGAGAGCTGTGGTGCTCCTGGGTGGCCAGCATGCAGGGCCAGGCTCCCCAGCCCACCCACCCTTGCTGCACACCTTAGCCCAGGCCACCACCATGGGTTTTGCCCTGCCACGATCAGGGCCCTCAACCCCAAAGGCTCTGAACAGCCTTTGAAAAACACAGGAAGGTTCAGAAAACACCACAGAGTAGGATCAAAGGCACTTTCTATACTAGAAAGACCAGAAGGATTCAGGCCATCCCATGCTTTTCCCAGACAGCCCCCAGTTTATGGCAGAAAAGTTGCCTTGACTGGGTATAATCCATTGCTTATTATATTACACCTTATAGTGTTTCCTTGGTTGGTGTGGATCTCTTAAAAGATGGTGAAGGGCTCCAAAGTGCAGAGGCAAGACAAGGCCAGTGAGGGAGCAGGATGCAGTGGGGCTGCATATGGCAGTGGGGCTGTTAAGCTCCCTGCAACAGTCTCAGTCTTTGTGTGGGCTCTGACAAAGGAGAGAGTAAAGGCCGCTTTGGAGGGATTTGAGCTCTGATTCCCCAGTTCTGTCACCAGGATGGAGGAGAGAGGGTGCTGGGGATGGGGCAGGGGATGTTCCTGCCTTAGGACCTCAACCTATCCTCTACTGAGATGGAGTTGAACTGAACCTGGACTGGGAGAGTCAAAAAATCAGTCTGGGTCCCTGTAGCACCCAAGTAAACCAGACTCACTGCTGGGGATTGACTGGCCCAGGGCTTCTCCTGCATGGACCACAGTCCAGAGGGAGACACCAGTGCATGGCATTCAAGGTCCAGCTGTGCCACCCAGGTGGCTGGTGCCTCTGCTGCGCTCTGCCCTACTCAGTTCAGAGATAACATGGGAAGAGCAGGATGCTGCGTATGTGGAGGAAACGCAGGGCCAGAATTGCACAGCCCCTTGCTGAGGTGTGTTGCTGCCTTGGCCTTGCTGCAGCAGCAAGGTCAGCACGCTGCAGCTGCAGGGCCACTGCTGTGGATCCAGATGGAGAGCATCTGGGGACAAGGAAGTGGCTGGTGTACGGGGCTTTGCCTAATTGGTGGGTCAGTGGCCAAAACTGTATTGAAACCCTGCCCTTGAGAGTTGCTCGGGAACCGCCTACACAAACAGGAGCCAGACAGAGCCTGTCTGTTGGGACCAAGCCGGCAACATGACCCTTGCAGGCTCCATCTCTGCCTCCCCATGCCTCCACCAGCAGATCGTCACGCACTCCCCATCACCAGCCTCGCTGTGAATGATGAGCTCCCTCTTGCTTTCAGCCTTTGGGAAACACCAGGGCAGCTTTAGTGCTAATGAGACACTTGTGTAATAATTAGCACTTAAAATTTATGGCATGCAACATGTTGTAACAGGCTGACGTGATCTGGCAGGGCAAGAAAGCTTTAAACAAGCACAACTATTGCCTCAGAGGTCTGCCTGAGGGCTGCCTTTACACCGCAAAGAGGAGCAGTGTGGGGCCAGCCTCACGGGCAGGGGCACCTTTGGCTCAGCTGTTGTGCATGGCCTTCCCATAAAGCTGGACAGTTTCAGAAGTACACGTAACTTCTTTCTCATGCAATGCTGTTGTTTGGAGCCTGCTGCCATGCTGAGACCTTCACTCAGCAGATGAATATAAAGGGAATTGGGGAAGTTAGATGAACACAACAACGGAGGACATAGTCCCACTGGAAAAGGCCTTCTCAGTGTCACTCCTGAGCAGTTCAAGTGCAGATTTGGGAACAGACTGCTCAGGAAGAGTTATCTGAATGTAGTTGGGCGTCCACAAGTCAGGTGCCTATACCTGAGCCAGCTGCCCTGGGCTCCCCAACAGAGCTCTGCTCTGTCAGCAGAGACCCAGTTGCAGCAGCTTAAGGAGAACAGGGCAAGGCTAATCTCATAAAGATAGCCGGCGGAATTGTGCCCTGCATGGAGTTAAAGCAAGGATGGTTTTTCACTGTGGGCTCTTTCTTATCTCATGAATGCATGAGTTCTCCACCCATATTTGCATGCTTCTTTCAGGTGTCCAACAGACTGTATTGCCTGCTTCCATCTGTCACTTGACAATCACCTTCTTCACCTCTGCAGTACAAATGTACTAATACCTAAAACAGGCCAGAGGCATCCTTCAGCCCTGAGGCCCATGATCACGATGCTGCTCACGTCCCCATAGATAAGCTCCACTAAGCACATCACAGACAGCCACATCCAGATGCACCCCGTGCCCTGACCGGTGCCTGCAGATCCTCTGGGAGAGTTTTCACTGGCACAGGCCAGTGCCGCATGGGCACCGCGCCAGCTCTGAGCACACAGCAGCACTTGCTGGCTGCAGGCGAGTGTGGCTGTGCCACTCCCCAGGCAGCTCAGCACAGCCATGGGGCTGCCTCATGGAGCACAATCCTGCCCCGCCAGCCTCAGGGGCTCCGTGCAGGGCTCCCATGGCTGTGCCGCTGCTGAGCCCACTCAATGCTCTTGTGGGACGGTGAGGGCTTGGAGCCTTATCCATCTCTCACACTGCCCCCCCCCCATGAGACTGGCTGCTGGATGAGGATGAGGCTGTCTCCCTCCTCTTCCCTGGTCATGACCCACAGCCCACAGTAAGTCAAAAGCAGACTATTTACAAAGCTACTCTTAACTCCAAGCGTCCTGGCCCAGCACTTCTGCTCATCTCACTGCTCCCGGGCACCAAAACCACCCTCCGCAGCCTGAGGACCTCTGCTTTGACTTACCTCTATCACTGGGTGCATCCTGTACCTCCAGCCCCGCCTGTGCTGTCCGGTTGCATCCCTCGTCCTGGGGGATTGAAGGTGACGGGTGAGACGGGCAAGGTGAGTCTGAGCTGAGACCAACACCTGGAAGAGGCGCCCTGTGCCAGGCCAGGGATCAGGCTGGCCAGGCAGAAGTCCCAACCCAGCCACGGCATCTGGGGGCTGCAATCCTCTGGGGACTGTGACCTCTTTTCCCAGGAGAGTCCAAGTCACTGCTCACATTGCCCTCCCCTAGCCAAGGCAGGGAGGAAGACAGCGGATACAGCTTGTGGGCTGCCCTGGCTTTTTGCATGGGTCTTGCATGGGTCCTGGGACTAGAGACCAACATTGGGCCATGCCTACAGAGAAAGACATCCCATGAAAACAGCCAGAGCACAAGGAGGAGATGTGGGGAGGGAGCTCTGGACAGGTCCTGGTGGTCTCATTCCCTTTACAGGCTCCCTTGTTGCACAAAATCATGGGGGGAAGGACGGAAGGACCCAGACCTCAGCCCAGCTGCCATCCTCCACTGGCAGCAAAGCAAGAGCTCCGCCTGAGAGCTCCAGAGCATTCAGCACCCTCCACATTGCAGCGGCTGCTGAGCACACTCATGGGACACGTCTCCCCACAGTCTGCTAGCAAGCAGGGTGTGCCCTGCTTAGGTTGAGGCTAGTTCCCTCCACATTAAAGGAAGTATCTCTGCCCACTCTGTCCCGCAACAAGCCACAGAGGAGCAATCATCTTTCGTTAGTTATTTCCCCCCTGGCTCTACTGGCTGACTCGTTTCTGGCTCCCCCACCAACTGCAGGGCTTTTCGGAGTGTGCATGCAGAGAGGGGAGCGAAGGAGCTCCAGACCTCTGGGAAGAGCCAATTCCTGGGGCGAGGAGCTGTGCAGCCATGGCAGCAACAACACGCACGGATCCCCAACGCTGGAAAAAGAGAGCACGGCGGGGAGGAGGGGCGGGGAAGTGGAGGAAAGAGCCAGCTTGTAATTGCAAACGTCGCTAATTTGGTACAGCTGCACGGCTGGAGAGGCAGCCCAGAAATATGCCGTCATTCCTCAGTGGAGTAGGACTATGTAAAGCTCCTTGCTGCCAGCGAGTTTAGCTTCAAGAGCCTGCATGGGCAAACGAGGGGTTGAAGAGACAAGGGCTTACCTCTGCCAGGGCTCCCAG